TATGACGTCATTATATATTCAAATGTATTAGCTCTGGTTTCGTGTAGTAAAGTCACTTTGAGGTTTTAGTATAAGCCCTTAGTTGGTTGGTGTAAATAGATATGAATGCTTATTCTGGTCTGCGAGTGTGAGAATGTCACTATAACTTTAATTTTCATGGGCAAAGCATCTCATTTTCTTATAGTAGACGTATATTTGAAATGTTTGTGTACAATAAATACTATATACATACATAACATCACGCCTGTCTCCCATGAGAGTAGGCAGAGACTGTAAAACGCTAATTACTACGATTCCTAAATACCATTCTCGCTTTATCAACAGTCATCAATCTTTTCATGCATGCTCGTCGGTTAAGGGTGCCTTTTAACCCTTTGAGTACTGTCATTATAGACACAATTAAAGAATAATAGGTTGCGGTCACCGGCGTCCTCGCGGTGTTTGACAGTTGAATTTGGCCCTTCTTTAATATATCGCCAATCTGGTCACTATAATACGTCCGTCTAGGGTTATATGACAATGACAATAATTTAGCTACAGAAATTCTTATTATTAAAGTAAATTCGCCTGCAGCTATTCTTTTACCTACCCTTGTAAAGAGCACCAGACTTGATCTTAAAACTACAGTTTAGTCAACTTATAAACGGCGTCCAGTTTATCCTAAACCATTAGATAGAGGTGCAGGTGCAACATCCAGGTGTTGCATATTAATCCTCGCTGACTTGTACAGTTTAATCACAAAATATTTACTGAGCACTACGGGTTCGATGCAAATTTATGCTAAAACGTCAACAGTGAACGGTTCCCCTAAGAAGTTATAGACCAATGTACTAGGAATGATCAGGTATATTCTAGAAAAGTTTCTAAACAATACTGATTATGGATGTATTGTGTATGGAATTTTGAAATTGGTTACGAATCTGTATATGAAAACTAGCGGAACCAACAGACGTTGTCCTGCGTATCCACTTGAATGTATAAACAAAATTTCATTCAAAATAGTTCAGCTGTTTAGGATAAATAACCTAAACATCGACTGCATCGCCATCTGCCGGGCTGATTTGTGAATCTAAACCATTCCCAGATCCCCTTGAACACACACAAAAAATTTCATCAAAATCGGTCCAGTTCAGGGATTTGAGAGAAGTTAAGTGACATACACACTCACAGAAGAATTATATATATAAAGATGAAACCCGTTTTCCGTTGTCACGGCATCACGCGTGAATTGTTGGACCGATTTCACTAATTATTTTTTTGTTGTGTTTGTTATTATTAGGAGAAGGTTCTTAAGATAAAAAAAACGTGATAATCCTTCGGGAACGAAAGAAAATGGCATTGCGCGTACGAAGTTAGATTAAATTCGGTTGTAAGCTTAGCCTAGTTTCAGTTACAGTATCCTATTTAACCGCCTCGGTGGCCGAATGGTCGCAAGTGCGACTGCCGGGCAAAGGGTCTCGGGTTCGATTCCCGGGTCTGGCAAATAATTACTGGGTTTTAAAAAAAATCTCAGTAGTAGCATCGACTCTGAAATTGTGCCCGGTATATGGCAATAGGCTCACCCCCTATTACATGGGACTCATAACATAAATAGTGAAAAGTGGGTGTTACATTGTACAGTGTGGCATTGTTAAGTGCCGTTATGTGCACTGCCTACCCCTCCGGGGATAAAAGGCATGATATTATGTTATGTTATCCTATTTAGTACAGGGGACTCATTACATGGACAAAGTAAATCTACTAATAGGCACCTCTTACTAATATTTTCAAGAATAACAAACAAGATGCTATATGACGTAAGTACTTTCTACTTACAA